AGGTAAAAACGGCTGCTGCTATGATTTTGTCTGGTTTATGAGCTCGTTGCTGTCCTAATTTAGGATCTTTTTAATATATTCTTGAAAATGTTAAAAAATAGAGAGAGAGAGAGAAAGGGCGCCCAGCGAGGATGTTTGCCCAAGGTCCCGTGCCGGCTCTCGACTTTCCTGAACTTACTTAACAATGCTGTTTTACTGCCACTAGTCACGAACAGAAGGAGCATTCTCTCTAATTATCTGTGTGTATTTCTTACTGACCAATCTAAAGCTTTGTTGGTAGAATCACTTATACACCTGTAAAAAAAAATTGTACTTCCTAGAACTTATGTCAAAATCTAGTAGCAGTCCCCAGAAAAGTCTAAACAAATATATTCTTTATGCAACATACAGAGATAGATATTTCAAAAGAAAAGTACATTCATTACACTTTGTAAATTACAAAAACAATTTGTTACTACCCCGATTGATAAAGCTGGCTGTAATTTTGGTTTTGTGTGTCAAAAGTTATATGCACAAATTTTACTTAAAGAAATTAATACCACAAGTACTTTTACTTAAAGTAATTTAAAGAAGTAATGTTATTACTAATTTAGATACATTGTTTTACTTTATTAATGTATATACTCAATTTAGACACACTGTTTCACTTTATTAATGTATATACTCAATTTTGACACATTGTTTCATCACTTTATGAATGTATGTACTCAATTTAGACACATTGTTTCACTTTATTAATGTATATACTCAATTTAGACACATTGTTTCACTTTATGAATGTATGTACTCAATTTAGACACATTGTTTCACTTTATGAATGTTTGTACTCAATTTAAACACACTGTTTCACTTTATGAATGTGTGTACTCAATTTAGACACATTGTTTCACTTTATGAATGTGTGTACTCAATTTAGACACATTGTTTCACTTTATAAATGTATGTACTCAAGTTAGACATGCTGTTTCACTTTATGAATGTATGTACTCAATTTAGACACATTGTTTCACTTTATGAATGTATGTACTCAATTTAGACACATTGTTTCACTTTATGAATGTATGTACTCAATTTAGACACATTGTTTCACTTTATGAATGTATGTACTCAATTTAAACACACTGTTTCACTTTATAATGCTTATTAGCAGAAAGTATTCTTCACAGCAAGTTGTCTTGGAGTTTATATAAACCAAGAAATTAATAGTTTACATACATATGTATAAGCCTATGTCAATAAATTTTTATTATACTCACAAGTCTAGTGGGTAGAATAGAAGCACCACATATTTTCCTTTATAGTCTGAGAGTTTGATTTCTTTAAACTGGTTGTCCACTACAGCTGTTCCCTTGAAGTCAGGAGCAGGATGTTGGACTGATGCCGCTAGACGACAACTTCCTGAAACATTAAGCATCAGGCACTATAACTTATTTTCTTGTACTTTATCATTCAACAGTAAAACAACTTGGTTTTGATCACAGATTTATTTCCCAACAAGCAAGTTCTATGTTTAAAGCTCTGATTTAGAAACAAATTTCACAGTTAAAAGTATCCATACTACCTTATTTTTATGACTTACACATTTAATAAAATAAATCTTATTGACATTAGTTGTTCTCCATCTCCACAACTTTCAAAACAGTTTTAAAAAGGTGCTAAGCTCTTTAAAACCAAATAGTTTAATTAATGTTTTTCAAACTTTAATGTATTGTTTTGTCTGTAACAACCAAACACACACAATTGTTGGAATGATAAAAACCTCATAAAAAGTTGTAATAAATATTACCCCCCCCAAAAAAAGAAGACTATACAACTAGTGAAACATGTTACTTTTATTTTTTTTAATGCAATTCTGATAATATTTAAGAAAATAAGCACAGACATTATTCATTGAACAAAAAGAATAAAGGGGAAGAAAACTCAACATGAATTGTGATAAAAATTATTTTGCGATTGCCAGCTGAAACTTGCCTAACTTAAATTAATATAGGCCTAATTATACAATTACTAAGTTTTGAAATTGGAAAGTACATTTAGTAATTTTTATGTAAAAAGGAGATTAAAAAAAATAATTATATATGCATTAAGATGGTGCAAAGTTTAAATAGGTTCAACAAAATACTGTATGTAATATATATGATCATTTGAAAAGGGTGCATTAATCTTTCAGAGTCTGAGCAACGGAGAACTAATGAAAGTGAAAGGAGTGATTAAGAGCAACTGTCTAATAATTAATAAATTCTACAAGATAATTTTATCCACTAAAACAAAACCCCGGGTGGCCTAAAATTGAGAAAAAAAACTTCTTTCTTATACTTGTAAAAACCATTTTATATATTTATTTCTTCTAAAAAATTACACCACGTTATAGAACTATATATTATAGAAACTGGCTAACAAATATTTAATCTGTAAATGTCTTCAGTATTTTAATATACTGAAAATTAAACAGGTCTTGGTAATTCTTTGAAGTAAAGTACACAGAGCTGTATAGAGACATGTTGCACACATTTTATGAACAGAAGATGACCTACAAGTTTTAGAAATATTTATTTCTGGAATATCAAACAAGCAAAATGTATAATTTTTACTTCACTTAGAGCTTTGACAAACAAACTTTCACTCGTTTAGCTATGTGGTTACAGTTATAGGTTATGTTTTTTTCCATTGTTGGATATACAGAACTGTTTAGTGTAAGAGTTATAACTTAGTTTATTTATTGATTAAATATTTAATGATTATTTAGTTTTCATAACAAGAGTGTTAAAAGCGATAGTTATGACAAGTTTTGTTATGTAACTTGGTACGAGTCATGTGCTGTGTAAGTACTTTAATTGTTGTACTAGGCCTTTGTAATATTGTTGACCTCATCTTACTCAAAGCCTACAAGTTTTTCTCATTATATTTAATATTGTTGTTACTAGAGGGCTAGATATTTGTAGATTTTTTCTGTCTCGTGTTATAAATATGTGCAGATACAAAGTGAAGGTTATGTTAGTGAAAGTGAAAAAAGTGAAGGTAGACTGCATGATTGTCAGTTTGGCCATAAGGGGCAATTCCTAAAGTGAAAGTTTCATGGTTTCTATTGTAACAACAGAGAAAGAAAAGAATAATTCATCTTGTCAATTGAGTTCTAAAGTAACTGAACCAGCCTATGTAGACTTTGGACAAAAAAATGAGAATTACTTAAAGCTCTAGACTCAACTGTGGTAACCAATAGTGTAACAATTTTTTTTGTAAATACATTTGACTTGTTCTGAATATATTATTTTTTTAAAACAAGTGGATCATGTGCTGTGCATTTATTATTGAAATTTATTGCCAACAAGTCAGACACCTACTGTAGAGAATCTGGCCCCATAAAAACTGACATCCATGAAAGTTTTGTTCAGTGTTAAGTAAAAAAATTAATATCTCTAAACAAACAAACAAAAAATCTAAGTATTAAGCTCTAAGTTCAGAACGGTTCTTCCAAGGTAACCCTTTTGTGCGTGTCGTAAGAAAACTGCCTAGTTTAATGGCAACTGTTATTAAATGCATTACTTTTGAGAACTGTAAGTGTAAAATACACTAAATTTTTTATGACTCAAAGAAATATTTTCATTGGTCAGATAGATTCCTTCTATAAACTAGAGCTAATGTATTCCATTTGGATTACTGACAAATAGATTTTTCTTACCAGTGTGAAAGCTTTTGATATTATTCATACATCCTGTCAGGGTTGAACATCTTGCAGTTTGAAATGTCTTGAAAACAAAAACCCACATATTATCACATTAAATACAGTTATTAATTAATGATCTCAAATACCACTGGAAATTCTACTTCAATAATGTAAACTACTTAAGTATTGTGATTTTTTTTTACCAGCATTTTTATTTTTTATAGTATAGAACTATAGATGAACAACTACGTGTCAAAAACAAAATAAAACAGCACCTTAACTCGTAAACTAAACCACAGATAAACTGTGTTGTTAAATCAATGGATAAAATTATGAAGAGCATCTTGATGAAGCAGGTTACTTTATATAAATACATGAAAACAAAATTTTTAGCCAACAGTGCAATTTAATAATAATCTCAGCATATTTTCTATAAATTCTAAAGCTTGCACACAATGCGAAGTATTCATCAATATTAAGACAGTGCGGTCAGTAATTTTATCTAGAAATTAGTTCATTAGAGTCTTGATGCATTTGTTCATATCCCTGTACTTCAATATGTAATAAATACTTGAGATTTACATTTAAAAATGCCAAACATTTTTCAAAAATTGGTAAAAATCAAACAATTCATTAGAGTCTTGATGCATACGTACGTGTCCAACTGGTAAAAGTGTGAGTTCGTGGTCAATTTGTTAGACCACAGAAGATATTCACAATCTATAGTAAAAATACGACAACGAGTGCCTAAGCCTTACGACCTTTTCTTCAACACCAATGTTGTTTGATGCAATGTTATAGATTGTTGGTCGGCAGGAAGATTTCACACAATACGTTGAGGTCAGTGTTGTTCCTTTTCTCATTACTTGATTTCCAAAATTCATCAATCAGGTGTGAACAGTAATCAATGACTTCTGAAGCTCTGTTTAGATGGTCCAAAGTTAATGGGAGATGAATGCGAATACTATACTATATATTCCTGTTTGTCCTTGCATCTTGCAAGGAGTTGGCATGTTCAGCTGGATGCGTGATTGGATGCTTTGTCAAGCCATGCTTTATTAGCATCCAGTCCATATGTAGATGGTATTTCCTTATAGTACAGTGGTGTAAGCACTAGAGCTGTTTATATTGTTGGGCTCATTAATTGATTATTATCACACGAGACTTGAATAGTTGGAATACTCCAAAACAGTAACAATTGGAAACATTAATCTTGATTAATGGATTATTTATGCGACATTAATTAATTTAATCCTAATTTTGATTAATCAGTTATTTTAAGAGACAACAACTGATGTATTCTGTGCTCATAGTTAATTAACTTCATCAATTAATCAAGTCAATTGCCCAGCTCTAGTCAGCACAATAGTCTGATTCTCCATGTTTGTTTGTTTGGAATTTTGCACAAAGCTGCACGAGGGCTATCTGCACTAGACGTCCCTAATTTAGCAGTGTAAGACCAGAGGGAAGGCAGCTAGTCATCACCACCCACTGCCAACTCTTGGGCTACTCTTTTACCAACGAATAGTGGGATTGACCATCACATTATAATGCCCCATGGCTGAAAGGGCGAGCATGTTTGGTGTGACGAGTATTTGAACCCGCGACCCGCAGAATGCGAGCTGAGCGCCCTAACCACCTGGCGATGCCGGGCCTGATTCTCCATGTATTTAATTTATCATTATAGCTGTAATTGATAATCATTGCAGGTTCTAAAAATAAACAAGAAACCTATTCTATCATTTGATTCATAAAATTTTACTGTGTTATATTGGTTTCATGATAATTCCACCCTTCATCAATATCCCTGATCAAAGGTAAAACAAAGAAAGGACTAAGCTTCTTATACATATTATACGTAGAATATTTTGAGTTGTTTTTTACTGACCTCAGAGAATCTGTATGTTTATATAGGCTCTGAAGTATATGCAGTAGTGATGTTACTAACTTATTATCCTGAATAATTCATCAGGCAAGTTGTCTAACCTACTAAAAAGAAATACCAAACCTAATCTATTTCTAGATTCACCACTTGCCATTGTCTTATACTGGTTTTGGGTATTTCACCCCCCATTAACATTGTATCACCTGTATGTTGTTAATAAACCAAACTTTTAACAACATTTACATAGTATATTATTTATAGTCTACTTGTATTCAGTGTTGATAATATTTTTCTAGACTACAATAGTTAAGACTAGTGTAGGTGTTAACCACTCACAATTTATAGGGTCCAATGGGTGAAAGGAGTAGGTTTTATTGGCATGCACTTTTTAGGATGCTAGTGGTGAAGATGTGCATTATTTTATTGAGTATGCAGGGTGGAGGCAAAATTGGAGGATCTCCTAAATAAGAGTATAAGCAATAGATACAGAGAAGTGTAAACTGTGGGAAATGGTAGGAGGATTCCAAGAAAAACTTTTATCTGTAACTGACTGTAAGGGATACAGTAGATAATATTAATAATGACTTTCACTGAAACTACTAGTACTATTACTAGTAGTATTACTATTAGTGTTAGGGCTAGAATAAGTAGATATTATTGTAACGAGCCGTTTGTATTAATTTTAAATTAATTAAGAGATTATGAAGATATGGAACTATGGGAGGAACGGGACAGAAAATGATGGGAATGAAAAACATGACGATACTATAGTTGTAGGGAATTTTTTGGTGCAGGTTGTGAATAAGATATTCTATGGATTAAACTCATTATTATTAGCAGTAGTATTACTATTATTAGAACTTCCACAGGTTCTGGTACAATACTGTACTGTTCAGTAAACTTAATCAAGACTTAAGCAACCAAGCATGGCTGTAATTACACAATGATTTACTTTTAATAGCGGTAGTACTTTTACAAATACAACTGAGACCAGACTTCCAAAGTACACAGTAAATCTAAAATCAAGGTCACGGCTCAGTGTAGGGTCTAGAATCCTAGTTCAAGTTCCAAAGCTGCTTAATTAAACTTTTATTTTTAAAGTTAAAACTGTAACTTATTTACTAATAAAGCTATAGTTTTAAAACAAAGCGCACTGTAAAAAGTATAAAGTAAAACTTACCTTACACAACAATCCACGAATAATTCCAGCCATCTTTACTGTTCACTGCAGTTATTAATATTAAAAAACCGACACCGAGGATAAACAACCTTTCTTAATCTCAAAATTACGTTGCTGTGACGTTCATGAGTACGACCATGTGAGATAAAAAATTTGCTCAATTGCGTTGCTTGTATAATTTTGGTTTCGCAATAATTTTGGATTCATCCCAGCTAATTGAATGCCCTTTATTATAAATATGTAAATCAATCGAAAAACTGCCATAGCCACATAACAATACTTTTTGGAGCTGAAATAAAAATACTTCCCACTTAAAACAGTTGATACAAATGGAAATACTATTTGAAAAATAACCACGTTTGAATATAGTCTATAGCGAATGTTATTGCTAAGCGAACATATTTTTTTTCTAAATGTCTATATACTTTCGAACACATTGTGTATATTTGTGGTATTTTAAAGAAATTCTAAAAGATAATTCTTAATAACAGTACTAACAGATAACACATTGTATTGTCTCAATTTTCCTTTTGGATTTTGAAATAAAGTAAAATTAGTACAGAATAAACCTAAAAAAGGCAGTTCAGAAAACAATTAACATGGTAGGATATTCTATTATTGTCAACAACAACAACAAAAAAAAAGAACAGTTGCCGAGAATTTAAGTTATTCTAAGTTTCGAATTCATTTCAACTCAGTTTAAATCCAGCCAACCCAAGCAACATGCCAAAGTTAATTTTTTTTAATTGCTAAGCTGCACAATGAACTGACTACGATGTAGCTAACGAAGGATCGAGCCAGGAATTCTAGCGTTATAAACCTTCAAGGGTCAAACTTACTGAATCTGACTTAACTGTCAAGTAAATATTGTTAACAATAGAATTGAATCACATATTTGTAATTAACCTATAGATTGTGATGCATTTATTTATCTTAAGGATCTACTCATCATTGGCTCTATTGACAATGCCGGAGGTTTATAGACTTAGAACTGTTGTATTGATGTCAAACGCATAATTCTAACGGTATTCTCTGGTAAAATTGATCTAATATATAGTCTACCACATTCCCATAGTACAGTAGGTTCGAAACTATTTACCTATCAATCATGAAATGAACACTGACGGCCAGTGTAAAATATGAACACACACATAAAACAGAAAATAAGAATCTTTATTTAACAGAAAGAAACATGCTAGGTTCCTTCTTTTTTATACTGTCTGACTTTATAGCTTTGAGCTCTCTGGCTGCTGGTGTAAGGAGTGAGACTTCTTCACTCCACGACGACAGAAAGAATTGTCACACAGTTAAAGGAAACCAAAGACCTAATGCGGTATCCCACAATCTTAAATTATCTATGTCAGTGATCATTCTCATTACACATATCCAAGAAGAAATTAACTCAGAGTTCATAGTAAGTTGTAAAAATCTCTGTACCACCCCTTCACTTGGAATATAATCTCTACCTATGGAAGAAGCAATACAGAAGGCAAAGCAAACAGAAGCTTATTGAGGTATCTAATCTTAGCGTGAGAAAATGGTCAAAGCAAGGTTATGACAGTGTCATTCTGTTCACAAGAGCATTTCACTAATTGCAGTAAATACATATATTTCTAATATTTCTGAATACATCTGAATAGCATTAGTTTTTCTTGTTATAGAATGGTAAATTTGTCTGTTTTGAAATGCCATATCCTGATCAATTTAGAAATGACATACCTTAAACAGACTTAATAATTAATAAACTACACGTATTGATGCAAATCAGACTGCATAACTTTCTTCTTTTTACTGAACATTAAATTTCGTAATTAATTATTTAAAATATATACTGTGCTAATCAATATAGTATGGCTAGTCTACGTATCGAATCTGTCTCATTTATATTTCCCTTTTTCGCAAAGCTACACAAACTAATAGACTAGAGGGGAGTCAGTGAGTCAATAGCATCTACTGCTAGCTCTTTTGCTACTCTAATCAAATAATGCGATGGCCGATTTTGCTGAATCGGGGACATAAACCACTGACTCTTGGGTTTACAGTTCAGCACGCTAACTACTAGGTCATGCTTGGCCAGTCTATATTCATCTGAATGAAACTTTAAAAATAACTTCCACCAATCTCTTTCCAACATAGACCGACATACATTTTAATTTCACCTCAAACAATTCCAAGAATTTCTCACCCTTCGCAAGTGAAATCGTTAATCTAAGACCAAATATACGATGTCGCCATGGGCTCTTAACTACTCAGCTTAGGCTGAGTGATGTCACGTTTGTACAGTTTGGTTCTGTTAACAATGTTCCTAAATTGCCGGCATATCCAAACTTCTACAGCTACGTACATGAAATGAAGGTAGTTACTAATGGATAAACCTATTTATGAATACACGTATCAAAGCTATGCAACCTGTTAATGGTGGATCTCACATTATTATTCTTTAGAGCAGAAATATTAGGATAAAGCGTAATAATTTTTGTACAAAAAGTAAGAGTTAGTATTATAATGTTAAAACTTGATGTTTATTAGAACATCCAGGCATTAGTTTATTTGCAAACGTAACTCAAGCAAATAACATACGTATGAGGTTCTAGAGAAAACTGAAACACCAGGAAGTATCAAAATACTTATCAAAGCTCCGGTAATACTGATTACATTGTCCAAAAAGTGATTTTGATACAATCATATGTAAAATAATTATAACAATCGAAACACAACGATTTCGATTACATTAACAATAACAACAAAATATTGATTAAAAATTTAAACAGTTGACAACAAGCACATTTAATGCAGTATTAAATAGTGGAGAGAAAAATGAATATCTTTCAAACATATATTCACAGAAAACAGCAACAACATAAGTCTTTCAACCACTACTACGCCTTTCGTATTCCTGGCGCCCCAGTGGCAAGTCTGCGAACTTATAACACTAAAAATCGGGGTTCGATAAATGCGTACTAGGTGGATGATGAAACTGGTATTGGACGAAAGTTCTCGTTGACACTTGATATAGTGTGTTTGACATATTGTTATACATGTTTCTTTACATTCACTAACAAGTTCTCAGAATGATTTTAGCAGAATGAATAACACTATCACTATCAGTAAGTATTTCTGGGACTGCATTTGCTCGAAACTTCGGTGGGTAACGCTTCGGTTTTCGTGTTAGGCCTTCATCAGGCTATTTACTACAAAACTTCTGACCGTGTAATTATGAGATATTGTTTTATTTACCCTAAGTATTTCACTTAAATTTCATGTCATAAAAAATTTATTGTGAAGATGTACTGAATAGATTATTTAAGACCTTTTTTTTTAATTATTCCATTAGAACTATTGGTCAAAATTGAATATATTATAATCAAATTTGTTAATAAATTAGGTTATGATTGATTTTTTTTTTACGTGCGGGTTATAACTGGCACAGTTATTTAGTATAAAGTAATTTATAAACATTTAAAATGGAAGATAACGCACAAAAACGAGGTTAAACGGCTTGTTATAAATATTTATCTTTAACAATTAGAAATGTCGGCACCAATTTGTTTCTCAGTAATATCTCCAGAAGGAAGGCTTAGGCCAAGAAAACAAAAATACAGGTTTAGCGTCTACCTCCACTCTTGTAGAGTTTTCTTTCATTTGAATTATCGTTTTTACATCAAAGAAGATGTAAAATAAGAATAGAAAATAAGATGAACACAGTTGCTTCGTTTTGCCCGTTTTCTTTATTTGTCATAAATTCTGTATCGTTTTGATGAAATAGTGAAACAGGTCATGAAAAAATGGGTGCAAACTTTCTTTAAAAGAGGTCATTTACAAAAAAGGGACCTCTTCCTTTTTACGAAAACTCTGGACTTGGCCTTAAAGTCAGAGTAGGTGAATACTTTAATTGTACGTTTTTCTTAATTTTAAGCTATCTCTTCACATGTGATTTTAGCCAAGATATTCAAGTTATCCTTCAATCATCTAAGAAAAGATATACAATATCTTTTTGTCCTCAGAATTTAGCCGAGATGCAAGTTATCCTTCAGCACTTACACATGTCGAGTATATTTGTTTACGTAATGACTTTAGCAGATACTAATTATCTTTCAACATTTCTTATAAAGATACATAGAGAAAATTTTTTACACGTGATTTTAAAACAAATTAATTGTAAAAAGTTAGCCATTCCAACCAAGGCACAACTTAACGGTTTTCCCTATTCATCTTATAACTGTGTGTCTATCATGATGGAATATATTTCATCAGAGTTGTTAATAATATATGAACCATTTTTTTGTTTCTTTGTCTCCCTTCTATCTTCAGATCAAATTTATGTAAATCCTGATTTATTAATGATTGTGTTTGCTAAGAAAAGTAGTGTACAATTTAACCATTAATCTTTTAAGACATTTTGCTGTAATTATTTTCATGATTTCCTAATAATTATCACCACACATTATATAAAATTTAAATGTTCTTAATTTTGTGGATAATAACATAGTTCGGATTAGTTATAAGCCAAAGAGATATCAATGCTATCAGGTGCTGTTATTGTCCAATGGGTATATAGGATTTTCGCAGCCAGACTAATGGCAGCATTCGCTAGGGTTTAAGGAGTTAATACTTTCATTTATTTCAGGTAATTTTGAAATAAGGTATTCCTTGGATCCTCAAACTCTGAAGCATGGAAATCACATACAAGAATACAAAATCTCTTAAACAACTAAACCGGAAAACTTACTTATTTACTTTTGTAATTAATTTAAAATTACACATAAGGAAACACCCCCCGTTCAGCAAAGATCACTTTCATCCCTTACTTTCTAACCCAATGAAATTACAAACAGTGGGTGGGTAGGGGGGAGATTAAGGTAGAGGAGGGATCATCTTTGGTCACTTTGCTTATCTTTCTGGTTCTATAAGACAGTTATCTCAAAGTGTTTTATAACATGATAAGACTGTGTTAGGTAATTACACATCTCGGACCACGATCTTGTGAGATTATCAGCTTGAAAAATAAAGTGTCTTTCAAGAGCTTGAAACCTCATCAAAGATATTGTTAAATAAAACATGCAGATTGGTTCACCCATAAAAACTTGGCCAAACCATAAAAGAAGCTAATATATGACACAACTTAATTATAACAGTAATAAACACAGGACTTGGTCGTATTAAACTACTTAGCCCTGGCAGCAGCATGTGTGCTATGGGGGGGTGGGCAGATTTTAGAAAAGGTAAGCAAAATCAGTTAACTCGTATTTATTATTACACGTCACTGCACATTGATTAATAAATTATATATGACACCATATTATTATGAAGACTTCACATGAATGTAGTTTCTCCAGATTTTTTAAAAATTATTCCTATTATTATTAAGGCATTAGAAACCTTTACATCTTAGCTACTTATTATGTTTAATTTAATTGTATATTTTTTTAGTTTCTGGTTTATTATCCATAGGCTTTTTAATATCAGTTCGGAATTTAAAACTTGTGTGTGTGTGGACAAGATCTAAACTAAATGGACATGCCCCTCCTCCCACGAAACTACTGTATTTTTCTGACATTTGGTAAAACTTGGGCCAAATCATATCCTTCAAATTATGGTAATAAAAAACAGTACACAGTCTTACTACACCACTGTCTATTTTCCAGATGTTAGGTAAAAAAAATATCACTGAAAGAAAACTCAGTACTGGATTACATGTCTCTAATTCAAAATGTTTTCCCCAAATATAAATCTTTTGCTGTACCATAAATGCCAGCTTTACCCTGAGGTGTTCAATTTTCATTGAAACTAAATAAAAAGAAATACCAACTGTAACCAGCATTTAATAAAGACTTTAATGTAATAAAAGTTGTACACATTTCACTGGTAACTTTTAAACTTGATTTGTAGTATCATTTTGTTTCAGATATAATGTACTCTCTGTACAAATGAACATGAAAAAGTAATAATATTTTTTTAATCTATCTTCAGTAATAATCTTAACAGTCCTTGATTCAGTACGTGCACAGTGCTGATGGTACGAGATAATAAGCTGAGTATCCAAACAGCCCGTCACATACAAATATCTTATATACAAAATAAATAGTAGCAATTATCTTCAGAGACAACAAGTAAGTAATTACAATAATTCTAATATCTGAAATGCATCTTATTAACAGACAAACTTCAACATTGGGAAACACAGTATTGTTGCACAAGGGTTTTTGAACAAACTACTCTCTAAACCAGAGCTAGGATGATGGCAGTGCTTTTCTTCAGATATGTTTACAAGGCAATCATAATATGGCTTCAGCAGCATGATACTGCTGCATCAGGACTTGAATGTGAATGGGTAGGCAGGACTGACGATCGTGGGTCACGGGGTCCAGAGACAACCATGACAGAGCATTGTAACCTTCCAGGACATATCTAGTTGATGAGAAATAATCGGATAAAATATAGAACATTTTCTTTCTACTAAACTAATGTATACACTAAGTAAAATGTGTTTAGTAACATCAGGTTTCAAGTATAGTACAATTTACTAAATATAAAAATACTGGAAGATGTTTAACAAATGAGCTCAAGTTATAATTTTGAGGTTTTCATTGATTATATCATGTTTCATTTTGATACATATTTTATAAAAGTTAATAAATATGCTACTAAAACAACAACTTGTTCTTAGAACTTTCAAAAACGAAATACAGCTAGTTTTAAAAGAGCTAGAACTAATATTCAACTAATGAACAACTGCTTATTTTATAATGCAAAAAAAAAAAAAAGGTTTACAGATTATGATAAAAAAACAACCTCAGGCACATCTATAAACAGAAATTAGTTTCAGATGGTATTTTGTGAAATGGCTTAAAAAGTCAACAAATGGGATGAATTTTTAAGAGTTGATATAACTTGCTGATCAGCTGGTTAGAACGAAAGTCAAACTCTATTTTTGAAACAGTTTTATTTATTTAGTGTAAAAGTTAATGCTAAACAAGTTTGAATTAGATATGAAACCAGTGTTCCCTTTAACCTGTGCAGCCACACAACAACCAATGAAGTGCAGTGCACATCCTCAGTAATGTTGAGGAGTCTCAACATGTTGACGACTTTAATGACCTTGGCAGTCAATAGGCATAAAGCCCAAATAACAACCAACTGGTAGCATTGCAAAGTAGCCTAATGAGTCAATAGGGTTTATGGTATAACCCCCCCCCCAAAAAAAGTACACATCCACACGTTGCCTTGGATACTGATACACATGAAAAAGTTAGAGGGAACATTGCATGAGACTACGTGATTTTGTAGGGGAAATAAAGAAAAATTCTAAGATCTTAGAAACTAGCAAAATACTTAAACAGAACCATCCCCTTCCATTATTTTGAGTCGTAGCACACTTTTGTTTGGCTACTGACCTCCTTACTCATTCACAAAATCACGGAGGTAAAACTGGAATGGCTGCCAAACTCAAATTGTTATATACTCGCTTATCTACTTAACTTCCAATTTCTGGAGGGC